AAAAAGAGTTTTCTAAACCCATATCAATTTTGCTTGGTCCTAGCATGCCCACCTTGAGCTTGCTTGATATTTGAGCCAGAACCGTAGATGTCACCAATAATGAGGAATTCCAATGGGCAGCCTCTTTTAGAAGACATTTGCAAGCTGGTAAATTAAATCATTGGAATCTAATTGCATAATAGTATTATCTACAAATATTTTGTTGATATCTTAATTATATGGAAAATCAAGCTGAATATCAAACAGGTCATCAATAATTTTAATAACCAATATGGCTTAACTATTAAGTAAGATCAAGAGAGTCACAGGCAACTCACTTTTTACACCTCATATTACTTTTTACACAGATATATCAAAAACAGAACCAAAAGTCCTTCATTCCTTTCAGATCTAATGATACTCCATCCTATAAAACAGCTGTGATTAAAATCTTCGTATACAGAGCTATACATACTTAAGAAAATAAAGTATATTTAAAAAATAGAACAAGCACATGGCTGCAGCACTAGAATAGCAAAGAAAATGGAAGATAACATTGCAATGTAACAAAGTAGTATCCACATTAGAAAGACTATCTCAAAAATATTTAAACATTAGATTATGACACTAGGCTTACTTTTGCTTATAAAATGTTAAACACACAAAAGCTAAAATAACTTATCAATGCAATCCCAGAATCTTCAAGCTACTAACAAATAGCAAAGATATCATCAGTAACAGCTTAGCTCCAGGAGTATACATAATCCTAGTACAGTATGACAGATTTAATTGAAGATAGACTTAGGTAGGTGTAACAAACAGATCATTAACACAAAAATATAAAAGAACATAAATATGACATTAGTAAAAATAAACTCATTAGGTGCTGGCTCAAATAGCAAGTTAGCCCATGTATGCTTAGACCAAGTAAAACTGATATCGTTTAAAAACACTCTTTCAGCTAAGAATGCTAGAAGCATACAAATATTCCTTACTTCAAGAGCAGGTCATTGTATTAATAATAAAGAAAAAGCATTATCAAAAGCCTGACAATCACTGGTAGATAACGTGATATGGCAACTGGACAACATATAGACATCAAGGATAACAGACTGGACAACAGCAGACATTGAATATATCTATGACTTATGCCATGTTGTTATAAACTGACAACCCTTTTTTTTTGCTTTATTTTTATTATATATGTGAGATTCTGGGGATTCCCTTATCTTTCTGGTGAGGGTGGATGTATTAACAAACAATAGTGACTAACGAAAGTGTCACTATCACACAAAAGTGTTACAAGACTTAATGACATGAGAAAAATAAACCTTCATCTAAATTGTCACCCATCCCATGACAATATCTCATGACATTGGCACTCTTGTGACAGGGTACCTGACTTGGCACCTGATTAAATTCCCACACCCAATGGAGATATAACAGGTCCACACCCCATCGTTGGGACACTCATCTGAAAGATTATCTTCTCGGCTCATCAACCTGCTAATCCACTTCCTGCTGTAAACAAAACAGTCTCAGCCTACTCAACCAAGAGGTATTATACTTGATGGATTTATGTGAAGCCTCTCTCTTGGTCAAGTAGAAATAAGTAGATTAGAAGTTAGATTTTTGACAATCAAGATTATCTTCAAGAATACTGATAAGATGGTTATCTATGTACAGTACTTAGCTATATGTTTAACTATGTTTGTCCTTTGTACATAGTTATTTGAGTTATTAAACCTATTGTTAGTTTACTTGGTCTCGGAGTACATTTCTCTGATAGCCTGACGCTTTATCACCAATCTCACAACCCTCCCCACTCGACATTTAGATATAGCTTTTATAGCTCTTATTTGAACGCATCTTTAGAAGAGCAGAATGTAATATTTGCAAGTTAGGATGCATTAAATTTTATCCTAACTGGTGTCAGGACTTGACATCAAAGTGATCTCACAATCCCGATGACAACTAATAGATAACGCCATCCACCAACATTGAAAAAGGGGTTTAAAGTACACCATTCAACCCCCAGCTTCTCACAAAGTCGTGTCAGGGTGGGTGTTTGTCGATAAGGGTGTCTGTACTAAACAGGTTGTGTCTGCCATAGACAGGTTCCTTCATAATTTTGATTTGTGGATAGCAGGGATAACATAAGATATAACATAAATTTTATTGTTATGTTGTTTATAATAAACAACGTAACAATAAAATAGATAATCTTAAAAAGGCAAGGGTAGTTTATAAAATAGTGTAACTGTCAAAATCCAAAAACTTATATAGGTGAAACTAGTCATTTATTGAAAGTAAGATTAAAAGAGCATGAAGCAACTATTCAGCTTGGATACAGTAACTCTCTGTGGTACACTCACACAAAAAATAAAAAAAGGTCAAATTAATAGAAATACAGTAGAACATCGTTTATCCGAATCAATTGGGGACTGGGGTTGTTTGGATAACTTATTTTTCGGATAATTGATTATGTACAAAAAAATATATTAATTTATCCCATGTTGACATTTTTCTCCATTGCGTGTTGCTTTGCATTGAATTTTCGTCGATGTTAAACCTAACGTAAACTTTTTAAAATAATAATCGTGGCTATTGTATCGTTAAAAATTATTTCTTTATTTCTTACAAACGAAATAAATATATTGAAAAATATAAAAACCAAAAAATATAAACTTTAGAAGTTGATCTAGTATCAAAAACGTTCGATTCAGCAAGACATACAGTCCTCAGAAAAACACCATACAAAAATGCCAGGGCTGCCAGCTAAAACACACACACCAACAAAAAAAAAATATTGGAGTAGCCCAAGATATAGCCAAAGATTGCAGCACCACAGCACTAGTGAAAATTTAAATTTGCTGACTGGAATGCTTGAAAGGTTAACCAACATTTCGGATAAACGAAAATTTTACATTTAGAAAAAGATGATTATAAAAGAAAATTCAAGAAACATGTACAAATAAGAAAACATACCAAAGAAAATTTAGTTAATATTTCAGATGGTATGTTAATTGGCCCTCAATGATACAGATTAATAGAGAGCACTTCAACATGTTAAGCATAGTAATAAAAGCACAGTCCAAGATCTGTTGTATGGTTTGTTTGGATAAATTAGAATTACTGGATAACATCTTTTGTTGGTATGTCTTTATATGTCATTGTTGTTCAAGAATTTAACTGTATATAATTAATTTTTAATACCACATTTACTTGCATATAAGAGGACCTCGCATGTAGGATGAGGTGTGACTTTAAAGATCAAAATAAAGAAAATTAGATTTATTAATACAATTGTAATTTTATTTTGTTTAATCACAAGTAAAATATCAAATGAATGTAAATGCACACATTGTCCTGCAAAAATTACTGGCATTTTAAACTTTAAGGAAAAATCTTGTAAAATCGACAACATAATTTGTTCATGTAAAGCTCAACAATCAGGAACCATTTTTTTGCCAATTCTTAACAGTCAAATCCACTCTCCGTCGATTATACATATGAGTTTCTCCGAATTCTGATTTCTGAATAATTATCTGTTTTCATGTGGGAATGGATTAAAACTTATATTGGGCTCCCGTGTGATTTTGGAATTTCAATCTGAAATTCAATTCAAAAGCTTTTCTTTTCCTATTACTATTCATCGTTACTCCCGACAATATACAAGGATGATTCAAACGACCCAGATAAAATACTTATGTTTTTAAATACAAGAGGGTAAGCATCCCATAAAAAATGCAAATACACAGTTCACAAAAATTATTTGCAAAAACACAAAGAATCTTTTGCTTGCGCATATAGGACGACCTAGGCATTTGAAGCTGTGATAAATGAATAAAAACCTTGTCTTATATGCGAGTAAATATGGTAATTTTAAATTACAGTATGTTATATTATATTAACACTTAAGCCTGGACTCCACATTACCTGAAAACAGAAACTCAGAAACAGAACTGAAACATATAGAGTTTTCATTTCAGTTATGTTTTCGTTTTAACTCAACTCCACTAGAAATGCGCCATCTGTTGGTCAGTTCTGTAATTGTCGTAGAGTCAAACATGGACGACGCTACGGATTTTGCCACGATTTCTCTGCAAAAATGTAAATAATCTTTGAATTATTTACATTTTCTGTCGTACAGACATCTGTATTTTCTAACTTGTTCGATGAAGAATTTCAAATCTATTTATTTCCTCGTCGTTTTCGCTACACTTTCTGCCATTACGACAATCAAACTACACGTGACTAATGCACGTGACTACGCGTCACAAATCCTTGCGTTTTTATTGGTTGCAGTACGACAGAAGCGTGGGACGAAAACGGAAAAGTTAAATAATTTTTAACTCTGCTTTCGGTCTTGTTTCTGTCCAACAGAACGTTCCAAAACCAGAAGTTTCGTCAGTTTGGCTTTCAGTTTTACGATTACGTCGCGGATTCCGGTAATGTGGAGTCCAGGCTTTATACCCGTCTTCACTTGGGAGAACCGATATGCACCCACTTTAACTGTATTGAATAATGGAAATATGTAAGTTTTTAAAGAAATTTTTAGATAGAATTATATATTTTTATGTAATTAAGTGTGTTAAGCCATTGTAATTTATTTTATAAAAATTTTTCATTTAAAATAGTAGACTGTTGTCTATATTCATGGAAGATAAATTTCCTTTTTTCTACAATTGTAATTTATGTCTTTATATGATATGTAAGTGGTTTGTCATGTAAAAAATCTGTTTTCATGATATCTGAATAATGTAATGCCCGTAATTATATTGTCATTTTTTTCACACAGCACTGAAGAGCGGTTGGGAACTTAAACCAACCCGAAATGCATTTGTAGTCCAATTTACAAAATAAAGCTGATTCTAACCAGAGAGCTGTGAGATCTTGCTTTTTTAGATTAAAGAGACATTATATATAGAAAATATAACTTTTTTTAAGAACAACTTAAATTTGAAATATCTCGGTAATTTTTTTTACAAAAAATAATAAATAAATAATAATTTACCTACCTATAAAATTTATTTGCTAAACCATCTGCATCACAGAAATGACAGAAATAATGTTCTCGTCGAAGGTGTCTAAAGAGTTCATCACTATCGACGTATCTCTGATCACAGAATTTGCATAATGGATGTCCACGATGTGAAGTATCATCTTTATCTCCAATTCTTCTATGACGACCTAATTCTTCTCTAGTATAACATCTACGTTCTGAAGTAAATATCTGCAAAATCCATTAATTGTCAACAGATCAATAAATTTCAAATTAAATATACAGAAGATAAATTAAATAGCTTACCCGTAAGTTTTCTACACACAATTCGCAGAAAAATAATTCATGTTCTCTACGCATGTGATTTTTTAAATGTCCAAAACTATGAAAACTACATCTCTGGTTACATATTTTACAGCTATGTTCAAGCAATTTTTCATAAGCTCTCCGACAATAATTGTCTTCAAAATAAATTTTATATTTTTTATCTACAGGATATAAAACTTCTGACAACTCATTAAAAGTCTTCTTTCTTTGAGAAAATACAACCTATTTTTAAAAAATTTAAAATAGAAGTTACAATTTGTTATAAATTTAAATATAGTATTTAATAATTAAGATTTTTAAAACTATAAAACACAATTTTGAAGTAATGTTGAGATTCAAGCATCTGTTTTACTTATTCATCTGCTGTAACTATTATTAACAAGACCAAAAAAACTTATCAATTATATATTAAAGTACTTGAACTTAAACCAAAATCCAAAAGCATTACATTTATTTATAAATCATTAATTTAAAATTATAAATAATTGATAATTTCTAATGTCCTAAACAATAATCAATCATTTATTTTAATAAATAGTAATAAATTTAAGCCAAATATGACTGATAAGAANTAATGGGGATTGACTGGATGGCCAAGCGGTCAAGATATATGACTGATAAGAAATGACAGTATTATCTAATTGATTTTTATAAAATCAATTGTTAGTCAAATCAGTTATATGCTAATTCAATAAATACATTCATATTTCACTCATAACTTAAATATAATTTAGGCTTCTGTTCTGCTTATGTACTTAAGTTATTGATATGCAATAAACTGAAATATTTCTTGGTGCATTAACTATAATTACAAATAACAAAAAATATTCAACAGTACTGAAATTCAAGACTCATCTTTCCTATAGACATGTTTGTGTAATGTGGAATCATAATAATCACATTTTATCTTTTCATAACGGGAAAAATTATTATAAATGCTTTTCCTTATATGGAAAAAGAAACATTATAAACAATTTTTCTAATCATGAAAGAGTAATAAGTATGAAATAAAAACAAAATTGTTTTATTTTGATATCAAGTATTAATTAATCAATCAATGCATTTTTAACAGTAGTTTCAATCCTGTTAACAGATGGTGTTTTAATTGAATTGAAACTACAGGTAATCCCTGTATAACACGGTAGTTACGTTCCAAAAAATTGCCATGTTATGCGAAACAAAGAATTAGTACGAAAAGGACGGTTAGGTTCCAAAAATTAAAAAACACGCTATTATATTTTCATAATTAAGATAAATATATTTATTAAAATTTTCTTAAGTGATACATATTAATATAAATTAAACAATGTTTTCTTTGTCATCACTAAAAGCACTATTAACCGAAAGCATTTTATTTTTGGCAAGTTATCGTTATCCTCTGAGCATTTTTCTGCATTATTTTCAGATTCATGCTTTACCTTTTGCAAAAAGTGTATGTAATTTTAGAGTGCTTGCTTCTAGTTAAAAGATCTTTATAAATTTTCTTATATGGTGCTAAGCACTTATGGAATAAGGGAAAAACATCTGGCAACACCAGAAGCAGAAGCGTCGAGATCTGGCAAAATTGAAACAATTTTCGCGAAGGACTATGTGTATGGAGACGAGAAAAGAAAATTTACACACTGAAGTACTAATAGTTCACGAAAATTATTATTTTCGTGAACTATTAGTACTTAAGTATGTAAAAATTTATTACATTTCATGTTGTACAAGGGTTTTACCCATTTCTCGAACCGTGTCAGAGTGAATCCGTGCTATAAAAGTACCACGTTATACAGGGAATGGTACCAATTCTCGAACCGTGTTAGAGTGAATCCATGTTATACGGGGGTTACCTGTACTGCAAAGTAACCGTAACGGCTTACAGATACATTTGATGATAACTCAGGATATCTTCTATTTGAAGTTAAGACCATTTACAAAAGTAAATTGAATATTATAACAAAATAGTATGGTGAGAAAATGTAACCTTTGTTTTTAATGTGAAAAAAGTCAGATCCTCTAATAAAAGGCTGACATTTGATATCAATTTTAACTTTGTGTGAATTTTTATTATCTATTATTACAGTAGAGCCTCGATTATCCGACCCCTCGGTTAACCGACCATCCTAGTCGGCAAATTTCAAATGTCTGCTATTGATGTGGCTCTACAATATTTGGATATGTCTTGGCTACTTTAATATTATTTTTACGTGTTTTAGCTGGCAACACTGGATCGACCATGAAAGGGAGCCAGTATTTAAACGAGGCTTAATTTTATAATTTTTAACGATACAATAGCGATGATTATTATTTTAAAAAATTTTTGTTAGGCTTAACATCGATGAAAATTCAACACAAAGTAGGTTAATAGCAATATACTAATATACTAATTACATGGGATATAATAATATACTTCACTAATAATGTATTTTTTCATACTTTTCGGTTATCCGCCCTTTCAATTATCCGACCAACCCCAGTCCCCAATTAGGTCGGATAATCGAGGCTCTACTGTATTCATCATTTTAATGACTTTTTTTCTTCAAGCTGTTTTAACTGTTACTTCTGTGGTTGTGTAAAGGATAAAGAAAAGACCTGAAAATCTTTTATTTTTGTAAATGGCTAATACTTGAAATAACTGTAATGAATTCAGTCTTACTGATAAAGTTTATTTGCAATTAGTTCTCAATGTTTTTATTGTAATTTTTTTATACAGAAAAATGCTTTTATTCATATTTTGTTTGAATATACAAGGGTATCATGTATATAATATTTTTGATTTAATTAAATTAAAAGTCATGATTTCAAGAACTATTCCTCTGTGTCAAGAAACTCTATAAAAATTGATACCATTGTATAAATGTGATAGACAAAATTAATCACATAATTTTTGTCTTTATTATCTTTACTAGAGATTATGATTTTTGCTGAAAATATATGTATTACTTTAACTATAATTCAAAAATGGACAGCATGCCAATTGTTTAATAGGAGAAACTTCTTAACATATAGAAAAATAATTATTGTCAAAAGCGCTTGTTGATCTAGTGACATTCATTTGTAATTTAACGCCTATATGTTAAAAAGTTTCTCCTACATATTACTTTACTGTATCATAGTAACTCTGATATTTAATAAATAAGCATCTTAAGTATATATATATTTTAGTCAAATTACCATTACAGTGGGTGATCGGTTAACGAACATAATCCGTTCCAAGACTTTGTTCGCTATCCGAATTGTTCGTTAACCGATTATCGATTTACCATAGGTTTTAATGGGAATTTGATTAATTCGTTCTGGAGACTCCCCAAAATAAAAAATATAGGCTATACTTTCTTACTACGTTTATTTATATGTAATAATAAAAATACATACGTACACAGTCTTGCGTTAAACTGAAGAAACATGACTAATAAGTCATGTTTTTTCAGTTTGAAAGGGTTAAAGAATCTGTCTAATGTCGATTGCTTTTCTCTCTTCTTCAGGATTTTTCGTAAGTAATTAATAGCATTGCAATTGTAGAAATCCCCAAGCCTCAACCTGGTTTGGATGCCATTTTAAGACCGTTGTTCTGACATCATCCCACTTCTTTACAAGATCTTTAATAGCAGATATCGGCATAAGTCCGCATTTTCAGAAGAAAACATATCTCGCCGAGTTTCTTGGTGTTCTTCATTCAAGAGTTCTTGGCGTTCTTCTGTCGTCAGATCCGTTTCAGGTTCCATTATGAACTCTTCGATGTTCTTTATTTCTCAGATGTGATTTTTGTTACTCCTTTAGCTGCTTGAGTCTTCTTGATTATACAGTATTTTTCTTAAATAAGATTGAACTGCGGCCTACTGTAGACCTGTTCACGCCATACTGCCCAGCAACATTAGGCATCTTCTGCCCACTCTCTACCTTTGCTATTATACTCTCACCTTTCGAAAAGAAAAACAGACGCAAAACTTAACGAGTGCCTACCCGACAGTCTCGCGAATACATAAAAGAATTGTTTTGTCAGAAAAATAAAAGGCTGGAATTACAAGGGAGAGTTTCAAAGTTCGGAGGAATACTATCCGATCGGTATATACCGGCTTGAGCGTCGATGTCGACGTCTCCCACACTCCGAAAAGTTTCGAATTGTTGCCCAAAGACAAGGAAAGTCCAGTTGGTATTCGTTATTTTACGTCGCTTCTTCTTGTTTGTTCTGTGGGATGTTCGTTATCCGATCATGTGTTTGTTGTCCGAACATAAAAATCTTTCGCGAAAGTGTTCGTTATCCGATTTGTTCGTTGTCCAATCTGTTCGTTAACCGATCACCCACTGTATATTTAGGATAAAGAAACATGTACTTCTTATAATGAATTGCTTATTTATTTATTTATGGTTCTTATTATTCTTCTATTAAACAATTTATATTTGCAAAACTAAAGCAAATGTTTTTTATATATATATATATATATATATATACACACACACACAGTGTATGGTACCATTGGTACAACAGTTTTCACATATAGAGAGTATGGACATTCTAGCTATTGCAGCTACAATGGATATGCTGATGGGAATTGTTGAAGCTCATTTAGTTTCCAAAACTAGTCAACATCATAGGGAGACATGTCAGGTGAATAGAGGGGGATAATCAAGGATTGCCCAACACCATTTCTGTAGCAATGTTGTTAACACACCAGCAATATGGAAACAGCACTGTCAAGTAACAAAACTAGTTATTCTTGCATGAGTGTAGGTCTCTTGTGGAGAAGTGCAGGTCACAAGTGATGTTTACAGAATTTCTTATACAATTCCCATTCTAGTTGCAATAGAGTCCATTACTAACGAATTTCATTGAGAAGAACATTATTAATTAAATCACTGCAAAACAAAGAAGTGATTATTAACCAATAATGTAACTCTGTAGAGATAAAGTATCAAGCAAGGTTACAATGCCAAATTGTTTGATCTGTAGTCCAAATTGTTTGAGCTATAATGAAACTTTTAATGAATTTGTTTTTGTTTAAAAATATGACAAAAAATAAAATAAACTTTATAATTAGAAAAATATCAATTTGAGTATATAATATTAATTTGAGGTTCTGACTCTGCAATAGAATGAAAATGGAAACAGCATCTACTAGTAATTTTGCAAGTATAACAATATAATACATAAAGTAAAAATTAAAACTTGGCCAATGGTATTTAATTTTATCACAGCTGTAAATAATGGAAAAGAAAAACAAAAGCAAGAAGTTTTT